GCATGAATGATTCGAGTGCAAAACTATTTTTTAATGACGCACTTGTCGTTTCACAATTTTATTTTTACCAACCACCACAAACCGGGGGTGTTTAGTTTAAATTTATTTTGTGTTTTTTCAGCCTAAATTAAAACACAGAGGTGCTTTTCTGTGACGGTGAACAGCTGAACATTCCACCGAACTCGCACTAGTCCATCAGAAATAACAAGAATTTAATGAAAAAGTTCAATATTTTTGTCACTGATTTCAAAAAGTCAAACCCACGGAGTGAAATATTGGAATAGAATTTCCTTTTTTCCATTTTCTGTGAGCCACAATCATAGAAATTGAAGAAATAGAGTGAAGTTTGTCAAGAGTTTATGTGTCACGACTCTATATAAGATCTGTACTGAAAAAAAAACAATATCTAGTTAAATTAAAATGACTTAAATTAAGAACATTTCAACTTGACATGTAAAATTATCTACCGAAAAATTAAGTGTGTTTTTCTAAATTCAAGCAACATTCCATTTTGTTTCTTATTTTAAGCGCAAAAAGTTGTTGTTTTTCTTTTTTTTTTTTAAGTCTAGCAAGATGTATTTTTATATTTTAAGTACAAAAAGTCTTGAATAATTTTACTTCAAGTGAAATCAGCCCACAGGAAGTAACAACATCTGATCTACGACACGTCACCACCAACACCGGTGACGGTTCTGAAGATGCATCAGCAGAAACGTGTCAACAAGATAAAAACACTTTACTGTATTGACTTTAAAAAGAACCCAAGAAGTTGAAGCACATTCTGTGTCGGCAACGATTCCCGAGATCGAGGATCGAGATCGAAGGGGAAAGACGTTATTGTTCTTCTTCCTACGGGATTTAGGAATAGTTTAATATACCAGTGAGTCCTGTTGGCGACGCATTACATACGTCACGACCAAACAGCAGCGATTGGTTAAATTTAAAAAGTCCCCGCCTACGAGCGAACACATCCTAATGCGCCGAGGTCACACGGTTTACTCAAAGTGAAACCAACTGATGAATCAGACTAGAGAGAGACGGGGGCGGGGCTTTGTTCAGCAACTGCACTGCCTGAGGGTCCAGACCGCGGACCAGTCTAGATCTTCTGAGGGTCCAGACCGCGGACCAGTCTAGATCTTCTGAGGGTCCAGGCTGTGGACCAGTTTAGATCTTCTGAGGGTTCAGGCTGTGGGCCAGTCTAGATTTTCTGAGGGTCCAGACCGTGGACCAGTTTAGATCTTCTGAGGGTCCAGACCGTGGACCAGTCTAGATCTTCTGAGGGTCCAGACCGTGGACCAGTC